TCTACCATCCCCCGGAGTCCACTTAAGCTCACACCAACTGCTTCAGTGACTCCATCTAGCCACCTCATCCTCTGCCGTCCCCTTCTTCTTTTGCCATCTATTGTTCCCAGCATTAGGCTCCAGGGAGTCCTTCCTTCTCATTAGGCGGCCAAAGTATTTGAGTTTCATCTTCAGTATCAGGCCTTCTAAAGAGCAGTCAGGGTTGATCTCCTCTAGGACTGACCAGTTTGATCGCCTTGCGGTCCAAGGGGCTTGCAGGGCTCTCCTCCAGCACCACAATTCAAAGGCCTCAGTTCTCTGGTGCTCAGCCTTCCTTATGCTCCAACTTTCACAGCCACACATTGCAACTGGGAAAACAGTAGCCTTAACTATATGCAATTTTGTTGGCAGGGTGATGTCTCTGCGTTTTAGAGTGCTGTCTAGATTTGCCAGAGCTTTCCTCCCCAGGAACAAGCGTCTTTTAATTTCATGGCTGCAGTCCCCATCAAAAGTGATCTTGGAGCCCAGGAAAATAAAATCTGTCACTACCTCCATTTCTTCCCCATCTATTTGCCAGGAAGTGAGAGGACCAGATGCCATGATCTTAGTTTTCTTAATGTTGAGTTTCAAGCCAACTTTTGCACTCTCCTCCTTCACCCGCATCAAGAGGCTCTTTAGTTCCTCTTCACTTTCTGCCATGAGAGTGGTATCATCTGCATATCTGAGGTTGTTAATATTTCTCCCAGCAATTTTAATTCCAACTTGTGATTCATCTAGCCCCGCCTTTCTCATGATGTGCTCTGCATTTAAGTTAAATAGGCAGGGCGACGGTATACAGCCTAGCCAAACTCCTTTCTCACTTTTGAACCAATCAGTGGTTCCATGTCCAGTTCTCAGTGGTTTCTTAACCTGCATATAGGTTTCTCAAGAGACAAATAAGATGCTCTGGTACTCCCGTCTCTTTAAGAACTTGCCACAATTTGTTGTGATCCACACAATCAAAGGCTTTAGCATAGTCAATGAAGCAGATGTTTTTCTGGAACTCCCTAGCTTTCTCCATGATCCAGTGTATGTTGGCAATTTGATCTCTAATTCCTCTACCTCTTCAAAATCCTGCCTGTACTTCTGGTAGTTCTCGGTCCACATACTGCTGGAGCCTAGCTTGTAGGATTTTGAGCATCACTTTGCTAGCATGTGAAATGAGTGCAATGGTGCGGTAGTTTGAACATTCTTTGGCATTGCCCTTCTTTGGGACCGGAATGTAGACTGACTTTTTCCAATCCTGTGGCCACTGTTGAGTTTTCCAAATTTGCTGGCATATTGAGTGTAGCACTTTTATTGCATTGTCTTTTAAGATTTTGAATAGCTCAGCTGGACTACTGTCACCTCTGCTAGCTTTGTTGTTGCTCAGACTTCCTAAGGCCCATTTGACTTCACATTCCAGGATGTCCGGCTCGAGGTCAGTGACCACCCCATCGTGGTTAGTTATCAGGGACGTTAAGCTCTTTCTTGTATAGTTCCTCTGTGTAATCTTGCCACCTCTTCTTAATCCCTTCTGCCTCTGTTACGTCCCTGCCATTTTAGTCCTTTATCATGCCCATCTTTGCATGAAACGTTCCCTTCATATCTCCAATTTTCTTGATGAGTTCTCTGGTCCTCCCTGTTCTTTTGTTCTCTTCTATTTCTTCATTTAAGAAAGCATTTAAGAAAGCATTATCATCTCTTCTAGCTATTCTCTGGAATTCTGCATTCAATTGGGTGTATCTTTCTCTTTCTCCCTTGCCTTTCGCTTCCCTTCTTTCCTCAGCTATTTGTAAAGCTTCTTCAGACAGCCATTTTGCTTTCTCGCATTTTTTTTCTTTGGGATGTTTTTAGTTGCTACCTCTTGTACAATGTTGTTAACCTCCGTCCATAGTTCTTCAGGCACTCTGTCTATCAGATCTAATTCCTTAAATCTATTTGTCACCTCTATTCATGAGGGATATGATTTAGGTCATACCTGAGTGACCTAGTGTTTTCCCCTACTTTCTTCAATTTAAGCCTAACCTGTATTCTAAAGGGAGCCAACTATGGGAGAAAGATCTCGTTGCACTTGAGGATAAACTTGGGTCTGGACTGTACCACCTCAGAAGGGAGGTGGGGGCTTGTACAAGTGTATACTCCTCCATGCAAAAAAAGTCTTTAACCAAAGAAAATCAGGATGTTGGAAAGCCGGACAAGGAACCTTGCTCTCTATGCAAGAACTTCTTTGTATAGAACATTCAGGTTTGTGAACCTGCTCCTACAGTTTGAAGTAGTGCAGCTCAGACACAGGAAGGCCGAGGCCAAATACAGGAAGGAGAAGGCGGAAAGCTTTTGCTTTTTGTTTTTGTTTTCCAATGAAAGGTGGGCCTCATGGCTCAGAGTGGGGTTAAAGGGTCAGTGGAAAAGTTGCAAAGTGCTACCACCTATGCATGACAAAATCGGTATCTTCGGGGCTCTTCTGCTTTAGGCGAATGAGACCCCAGCTCTGCGGGCTGAAAAATGGCCTACATAAGCATTGTGATAACCCAGCGGTGGTTTTTAGCAGTGACACAGATGACAAATTTGCATTTAAAGAGGAGACTGGATATAAACGCAAGAGATTTAAAGGCAGTGCGGGTGGTGGGGAGGGAGAGAAAATGAGCTTATGTTCGGGAGAAAAGAGCTCAGCGTCAATCCCCACTGTGCGCCAGGGCAAGGGATATCATTGCAGACCTTGAACTGTTTCACAGCCCCGCGCCATTCGCACGCCCTTTTGCCACTCGGAGCCCAGGAGGGAGGACCAGCGTCAGAGCCCTCAATAGAGATTTCCGAGCCTGACTGGTGGGCTCCGCGCAGGGTGAATGCGAGCCCCGTTGCCAAGGGGTGGCTGCGGGGAATGCCAGCGTGGGTACTGCTGGGCCCGGCGGAAACACTCCACATTATGTGGGTAATACAGTGTGACACTCCGCAGACAATGGCAAATGGAGTGTCCCAGCAGGTAACAGGGCTTGGATCGCAGACAATTACAGTGAAGCTCTGTCAGGAGCCCCTAATCCCCCCCAGCCCCTTCGCTGCTTCTGGGAACTTCTCTTCTATCACGGGAAAATCTCTCCGCAGCAACTCCAACCCCCACTCCTAACTTTCAGCCACCAAATAATTCCATGCCTGGGAGAGGGGCAAAGTGCGGGGGGGTGCTTTTTCAGGCGGGCTTTTCACAGACCTTCGGAGCGCTCAGCTGGTTCCAAGGTAGTAATCCTGAGATGGCCGCCCTCTCAGAGTTTAGTTTTACACCCTGGGTCACCAGATTTTAAGACAGCATCCCAGCAGGGAACCACACTGGCCCAGCGTTTTCAGCGTGTCCTGAATTTCTCCTGGAGGTGCAGGCCACCTTTTTGGAGTTGAAAAAATGGCTGCTTTTAGAGTTGGCAAGAGAAACTAGAGCTGCTTATCCTCACTCAGAGGAGCCCACACCCTGCATTTCTGGCCAGGCCTCTACGGAGGCCAACAGACATTCCATCCCACTTTTCAATAAAAAATTTTCGAGGAAGTTTACAATGTTTCATACAATGGAGAAAATGAACGTATTGGCTCAGCACAGACATCATGACAGACCATAACTTATTCCCCTGCCTGGTGCCTCCCAGATCTTTTAGATCACAAGGCCCAGCATTCTTAAGCATTGGCCATGCTGGTTGGGGAAAATGGGCACTAAAGTCTAAAACACCTTGAAGGATACCCGTTTGGCGAACTCACCATAGTAAAAAATGGTCTGTTTAAAGCAAACCAAATTCAAACCAGAACTTTATAAATTTGGCTTGTTTCAACTAACTATACCCAAGGTTAACTGTAGTTTACAAGAGTTCAGCTGTAATGCTAAACTGCTTGTCAAAAGCCAATCTGAGGAAGAGATGAAAACTAGATGGCACTGCCCAAGGCATGAGCCAGAGGCTTTTGTGGGCTCTTTTACATCATTCTTTATATATAGGCTCTTTAACCTATGACATTTGACAATTATTTCAGTTTTTAAAAATAGAAATACCACCAACATGAAAAATAGCAGCAGCAGCCAAACCTTAAGAAATCTCAGTCTAATTCTGTTGCATATTTGAATGGGGAGTGACTGAATGATCATGGCAGAAGGATCTGCCCCCAGTCAAGACTGATTGGAAGGCAATGCTGAAAAATGAAATCGCTGGGAGACATAGCAGGCAGCCTCCTTTAAGAAGTCAGTTATTTTAGCCACTTAAGCTTCTGCAGATCATAGTCCGGAAAGCTGTTCTGAAAAGAAGAGGCAGAGGCATGTAGTTGCCCTTGACTGACTGCAAGAGACCACAGTGGGCCTTGGAATTGTGGACCTCACCTTTCAAATGCTAGACCCATAGTTACTTAGATGGTAGAAGGAAGGTTGTTTCACTGCTATCAAAATAATCACAATCATATTTATGTCCTGCCTTGTATATCCTATATCTTGCATGGAACCAAGGCAGCTGACAAGATCTGCAGGTAACTGCAGCTTTTCTTCCCGTAACCTTCATTTGCAGCTACACGGGAATCTGCCTTTGTGCACGCCATTGCCTCAGCAGGGGTGGCCTTTGCTGTCACACGTTCCTGTGCAGAAGGCACTTCCACCATCTGTGGCTGCGACTCACACCACAAGGGCCCACCTGGTGAAGGATGGAAGTGGGGAGGCTGCAGTGAGGATGCTGACTTTGGCGTGCTTGTTTCACGGGAGTTTGCGGATGCCCGAGAAAACCGCCCAGATGCCCGCTCAGCCATGAACAGGCACAATAACGAAGCTGGAAGAACAGTGAGTAGACCCCTTCTGTACCATTTTGTGAACCAACATGGTGTGGATATATAGATGGTTTTGCTCCTGGCAGGCTGAATTCCTGGACAGGCCTCTAGTGCAAGAACAGAAAATCCAGGCAACTGAGCAATGCAGTTACCCCAGACTCATGGTGGTCTTATTTAGGGAGCAACCAGTTAATAACCCTTTGCACTTACTGGCTTTATCTACGCAAGCTCTGTCACTCATTCATCCCCTTTACCCTGTCACCATGGCTCAGGCCTACCTAGCCACAGAAAAAGAAATGCAGAACAAGTCCCTAGTAACCGCTGCTAAAGGGCTCCTGGTCTTCATAGTGCTTATCAAAACCAAAACCAACACAAACATGGCACTATACATAGATTACTGAGGAAGAGGAGGATGAGGATTGGTTGTTTGGCCACCAGACTAGCCAGCCACAGAAATAACCTAGTGGCAGAGGCAGGAGATTAAATGTAGCTACACAACCTCTATTGAGAAAACTAAACGTTTCTCTTGAGAAAGTTCAAAGGGAATGTTTAAATAGTTTCTTTTTAGATTACAAAATAATATCGAAAGCATATATATGAAAAGACTTCTAAATGTTTAAAAATGTAGACCACCTGAATGAAGGAATACGGCTGACCAAAGGACAGAAAATGGTGGGTTTGATCCTTATTCCTACAGAATTTGTTCATGATTAACCCCAGTTAGAGTCATCAAATGAATATTTAGATCTAGTTAGCACGATGCTTGAAATTCCTGACAATTAACATTTGATTAACAATAGCTGGCTATCCTGAAAGTTTATTTTTAACTCTTTTAAGCTTACTACACCTTTGATTCTTTGAACAAGGAACTTTGAGGAAAATTATCTTACGGTTGTTTAACAAATTCAGGAACAGTTTGAAGAAATATTGAATTAATATCATATATCCACTACAAAGTGAATGTTTTATTACCAAGATTATTAACTTATCTATAACATTACCTATAGTGGATTAGAGAAGGAATAGGGGAGAAACTAAATATCAAGATGCTACAGATTTGATACTCATGACCTGAGATGATTTATTCTGTTTTGTTGGATATGGACTTGGATATTCAAATATATCAGAAAAAAAGTTGAAAGACGTAATATGGAAGTGGGTCTTTTCTGATGTTTCTTTAAAATTGCATTGTGGATATCTGAAATGCAATATTATATCAGTAGTACATGACACTGACAACTCTTAAGATTCAATGAGTATATAAAATCAACCCTTCACTGTAGATTTGGTTTTGCACCAGGTTTTTGGTGGTGTTGTCTGAAGTGTTATTGGCAAATGATCATTCATCACACCTTTATAATTTATATTTGAATTCTTGAACAATTGCCCTCTGCAGTTTCAAAATTAAAATCTGACTAGGAATTTATCTGAATTGTCTATGTTCTGCTAGAAATCAGCTTAGCAATTAACTAGAAAAATGTAGCTGTACCTAAACCATAAAGATTGCTTGGAAGGAATTTGGGGATTTGTAGAACTGAGTAACCAAGATTATATCTATTTCTCTTGCTTCTCTAAAGTTTATCCTGCAGACATTTATATAACCACAATTTTTCTCTCTCTCTGTGATATGTGGTTATGCTTTTTTCCATGAGGAAACAATAAAATATTATTTTAAAAGTAAATTCTAATCCAGAAATCTCATATTTATCTCATTTGTACATAAATTGCTGCTTGTAAGATCTTAGCAACTCATCTATAGCAAGACTGAATCTTCATTAACTTGCTAAGGAGATCTGATTTTGACCTGTCTTGAAGTCTTTTGTTTTACTGTTGTAAGCTCAATTCTTGGAAAGCTTCTCTCAATTTCTTACGTGCCTGTATGACACAAATTAATCAAATTGGATCTCAGACCTTTATTCAGGTGCTCATTTCAGTCACAAGCCACAGCAGTTGGCTGCTATAGAGAACTTCCAGGAGGCTTTCAAAAGATCCACATCACATAACTCAAAACGCAACACTCTGAATGGCTAGCCTTAATAGTCCACCTGAGGACTTTTGGTCTGCTTGTTTTAAAATGGATGTGAGGTGGAGAGAGAATAAGTATGATGGCCCCTTGCATCAGTGAGGCAGGCTGCAAAGAGGGTGAGACAGTCCAAAGAGACAGGCTAGCAGGCACACTAAACTATAATCTTGGCTCCTTCAATACTTCTCCGCTATTATCTAGGCTGATTTTCCATGTTTTTGTTTTGTTCTGGATAGACTATCTTGGACCACATGCACTTGAAATGCAAGTGCCATGGCCTTTCAGGCAGCTGTGAGGTTAAAACATGTTGGTGGGCCCAGCCAGACTTCCGGGCCATTGGTGACTACTTGAAGGACAAGTATGACAGTGCTTCAGAGATGGTGGTGGAAAAACACCGGGAATCCCGTGGGTGGGTGGAGACGTTGCGCGCCAAGTATGCTCTCTTCAAGCCGCCAACAGAACGTGATTTGGTCTATTATGAGAACTCGCCCAACTTCTGTGAACCCAACCCTGAGACTGGCTCATTTGGCACCAGGGACAGAATGTGCAACGTGACTTCTCATGGCATTGATGGATGTGATTTGCTTTGCTGTGGCCGTGGCCACAACACCAGAACTGAGAAGAGAAAGGAGAAGTGCCACTGCATCTTCCACTGGTGCTGCTACGTCAGCTGCCAGGAGTGCGTCCGGGTTTATGATGTGCACACCTGCAAATAAAGAAAAAGGTATGTAGGAGGTGAAGGATCTGCCTGTAACAAAACTAAATTGAAAAACAGCTGATGCAACATAGCATTTAAACTGCTTAAGATGGGAAGTCCTTGGTTCCAATGTTATCTCCATCACAAACCTCCTAGGCCAGAGCTGGGCTAACCTAGGGGAAGTTGTGACACCTTTTAACTAGAACTCCCTGAACAGAGCAAGTGCATTATAAGGGCTGGGGAGTGCTGAGGAGTCAATTGTTGCACCCATGGTCCATATGCTGTACATGAAAATACAGAGCTACTAAAGATCAGGGATTTGAATGCAAAGAACTGAAGTGGCCACAGAGCTGCAGGGAGACCTTGTCAATGGCAAGCCATTCACTCCTATTTTGCACTAAGCCCACTAGCAGAAAGCCAGCCACAGCAAGGGTTTGTTTTTGGCTGTTTTTAAAACTCTTTCAGTTTGGGTTGGTATTATTAACCAGATATTTCTTGCTCAGGCTGCATCCTTTCTCCTTCAGCAGGTCCTAAGACATGGAATGACTTTAACCTATTTGTTACATGACTTCACTTACTGAGGATTGGAAGCTTTCATTAACTGGCCTGAAGATTTTTTCCCTTTTTCCAGGGGGACATAGTCTTAATAAAAGTATTACCCTGTTTTGCCTTTTCCATTTTTCTAAAGGACTACCACAGCTACCTAAGCCTTTTGAAGGATCACAGATAATTTATTTCACAGGAAATCTTGTGAGAGAAATTTTACTGGCAACATTTTAAGGTGTATACCAACACATGTAAAGTATGAATGTGGCTAAGATATGTTGGGCAGCCCCCATCAGTTGCTCTGTGGGAAGGAAAGGAGCGAGAAACAGGACTAGGCAATGGGCTCATCAGAGCCTCTTCAGCTGGCCTGTCCCTCCAATGCTCTGTGTGACCACCTGCCTTGTGGGAAGGAACACAAGATGCTGGATCCTCCTGGAGCCAGGATTCTGCTGCTTCTAAATACGCTGTTGGGAACTGCCCTGAGAGCTTTGGCTGTTGGGCAGTATAGAAATTAAATAAGAGGCACTTGCTCAAGCTGCAGCGACGCTTTCCCTGGGCATTGTTTCCCTGGCTGAAATGGCGCCCTGAAGTTGCCTCCTTTTGTCAAGCAAGCAAGTGTGGCCATTTTGATTGGACAAAATGCTCAATGGAAATTCCTTCCCCCTTTCCAGTCTGAGTTCCAGCCTCACAGTGGCTATGAAATTAAACAAGCATACACATAGCAACAAATGAGAGGAACTCCCAAAGCATTTCTGAAGGAGAAAAGCTTATAAACAAACAAAAAACTAAGGAACTAAGAAAGTCACAAAAAGGCTTTGGCTGCAATTGTACTGTGTTTCTTTTCTTGGTTCCTTTTTCTAGAAAGAGGTCCTTGGTACAGCTGGAGCATAAAATAGAAGTGAACGATTGCCAGAAAACACCACTGTTGCAGCCTGTGGCACCGGAATGCTGAGAAGAAAACCAGTTTCCTGTCGCTTGTAGAAGTAGGCAACGGAAAGGAAGAACCCACCTGAAAATCAACATGACATGGACCAGTTCTGCTCGCACACTTCTTACCTGTTGAACAGGCTGAGCAGCAGCTGCTGATTTTGGCCACCCAGTTCCTGCGGTGGTCTGAGCAAACTTTTGTTGTTATTGCACATATCCAAATATAATATATTTTTAAACCCTAAGGAAAGAGCAAGGCTATGGCAACACTGATAGAGGCTCACTGTAGTTATTCCCTGCGCTTCCTTAGGTGCAAGGTGCAGACGAGTAAGAGCCAGGGTTCAGGAAAAAGTGATGGGAAACAAAGCACTCCAGTGATAGCTGGCAGTTGCACACACTGGCAATATTCATGCATAACGGCAAGCCATGCAGTGAATAATGGAAGCATGGTGAAACATGGCATGTTTGGGTACCATGAATCCCCATGGAGGACCCACGGTTTGTTCCAAGGTTTCCACATTTCAGCATTGCTTCTTGTTATGTGTGTAACCAGTTTTCCATGCTTTCTCTGTTTCTTCCAATGAGTTCAGTGGCAAGAGTGGCTACAGCCACTCCAGCTACCATTTTCCACTGCCCTGTTTGCTTAGCAATGCCTGAGTTGCCAGCAGACAGGGTGCTGACTCCGACCCAACACTCCGTCTTCCTGGCACACATGATGCTGGGCCACCCCAGCACCGCCCTGCCTGTCACCTAACCCATCGCCCTGCTTCTTCACCATGAGGCTGGCATGGCAGTGAGTGGAAAAGAGGTGGGGAGCAGATCAATGTGGGGGTGGCATGTGAGATTGGCTAGGAGGGTGTGCATGGGGAGGAAAGCCAGGGCTCAGCATCTGCAGAGGCAGCCATGCTAATCTAATGAGCAGACAGGGGCTCTACAGAGTGGCAGAAAAAGACCAGCAGCCAGCTTCACTCAGTGGAGAGTGCAGGCTACTAGGGGGAGGCAGGTGACGCAATGCACAGTGGAATTGGTTGCCAGTTGTACTAGCTGATGGGACATGCCCTGCCATTTGTAGGGAAGATGGAGGTGTGCACAGACCACTCATGAGTTGTTACCTTGCGAGTATGTGAATTCAGGACACAGGTAAGAAAGATAACTGTGTAGCAGCCATTCACATTATGGATGAACAGCCCCACTCTTTGTGAATAACTTAATATGTGAACCTACACCCACAAACCCCAAATACACACCCAAGTAACCAATCTGATTTTTCCCATTATCCATTCCCCCCATGCAAGCAGCATTACTTTTGGAGCTGGAGGTAAGGAGAGAAGAGTCTCATATCCTTCACAAATTCACAGAATTTTCAAACCCGTGAAACAGATTACTTCTGTTGTCAACCTTTGGTCAATAGTGACCCAGTCAAATTACATACATACATACATACATATATACATATATATATATTTAAGTGTATTCTATTTTAAGTGTATATACATTTCTGTTGCTATAACCCAGGCAATTTCAAGAAGAACCGGGGTGCAGGGGCTATGAAACAGCTGCAACCAGTCCTTGCTTCAAAATGTAACCCCAAAATGATACAGCATTTTCCAGCAGGTTGAGTGAACAGATGGACACGTGGAAACTAAGACAAAATGTTACAGTGTACCCTCGCTCCCTAAAACTGGAGTGCTGTGTTCAGGGTTCCAGCCATGCCTTCCTCCAATTCCCTCCCCGATCTTAGTTTTCCATTTCTGCAACTGACCTCACAGTTCTCATTTGGTTGTTTGGTTCCCCCCACCATTATTTTTAATTTACAAAACTTTTATACTTCTGTGTTTCTAAGGAGTCACCTGATAAAGTAGAAAACCACTGCCTAGTTTAAGGACAGACTGGTTCACTTCCAAACAGCAATCTCATACAACGGAGTAAGTATTAGAGGGAACAAAAGAAGACTGCAGCAGATACTCCAAGCAGCCTAGAACAAAACCATTGTAGTGCTGGCAGTGGTTCAGGAGTAAAGAACAACCTCCCTCTTGTGCATGTGCACGCTCTTGCTCACTTGCTCTCTACCACACACACACACACACACCATTGCTCTATAGAGCTCACATCTGGAAAAACTGAATGTGAGGCAGTGGCTTGGGTCACAGAATTCTAGGGATGAGAAAGTGCTTCCTTTTTGTTTCCAAAAATCTTGTGGTTCTCCCAAACATACAAATACTTGCTTCTTATTGACCCCTTTCCGGCTACAGTCTTGGCAGTTCACTACCTGAGTTTGCTCTTAAAAGAAGAAATAAGGATAATAGCTGATGTTTCAGGCAAAGTTAAGAAATCCTCAGCATTACACATGACTAGAAGAGACATATTATATGCAAATAAATTATATGTCCCTGTCATCGCTAAGAGATGGAGATATGCACTGTAATGTGGTAATTTTTTCAACACATCTGCACTGCAATGGGACTTTTTTCAGAGCAGAACATTGGCCATCTGTTTCTCCCACATTTAGGATGACTGTCCCCCTTCACACTACAAAGCTGACTTTACAAAAAGAAAGTTGATCAGGGAGGACATAGTTCTAAATATGGTAACTCCCCCTTCATTATTTTCTCAGTGAAGCCAGAAATTCCAGGTCTAAATGAGGGCGTGGGTGTGGGATAGAAAACCCCACCGTTCACCTGCTTCCTCTCCCCTCAACCTGCTGTATCCAAAGTTATTTACAAAGCTGTAGAGCAGCCTTTCCCAGCCTGGTGCTTTCCAGATGTGCTGGATTTCAATTCTCATTATTCCCAGCCATCCTGGGTCCATGCTGGATGGGCATGGTGGAAGGTATAATTCAAGATATTTAGAGGGCACTAGATTGGGGGAGGCTGCTATCGAGGGTTTTCAGCCTTTTTAAAAAGTTATATTCTGAAAATTCTCTTTTTATAATTATTTATTATACAATGTATATAACATTGAGTTAACTAAGATTCTATATTATATAAATATATATTTTAAGAAAAGATATATTTCACCTCTTTTTCATCTTAAATCAATAAAGTTAAAGGCACTTAAAACAATTGTGCATTGTGAATACTTACCAAGCATTACTGTGGAAGGTTGCATGGTGGTCAGATACTACGCAAAGAAGACATGGCTGCCTATGACTGATTGAAAGTAAACTCTTTACTTGTTTATGGGACAAAAAAGTTGCACACAAGACACAAGGCAGGCAAATCATCTTCCAAGGACACAAGCAATTCAAAACTGACCACCTTCCTATTGTTTTAACACTAGGATCTGAATATTATAAAGACATAAGATTCTAAAATATAAAAATAACTTAAATAAAGCAAAACTAGGTTTGGTGGCATTCTCCCAAACAACCCCTTAATCCCAAACACAAGCAACCCGTTGAATTTGAACTGGGAGTTTCATGACCTAAGGCGAAGACCTATCCCAGTAAGTTCCTTGCACCCAGGCAACAGAGACCTCTTCATGCAAGGGATCAGAGGCACACGCAGCTTGCTTCTGCAGCGGGCAACTAGTACGTATCTTCTGAACTGGTCAGGCCTGACCTAGTACTACCTCCCGCACTTCTGGCTGTGGTTAATAACCTCAGCATTCTTGGCCCAAAGATACCCTCCAGGGCAAAAGTGGGCTACAGCCATCCCTTGACACAACTGAGGTCTTGTGAAATCTTTATCATCATGTTCATTTGGTTTACCCTCCAATTGTACCACCTAACATTTTCAGCCACAACCCTGCAATGCAATTTAACACTGTGATAAGCGAGTCAAACTTCATGGATGCCACAGCATCACTGTAAACCTTTCAAGGAGAGCTGCATCCATCACATCTCAGTTCACGAGCCATCAACAGTTTTTAAGACTCTGTGCCTTTTTATTGCATCACTTGGTCTGCATTTAAAGCACACAATTTATCTATATGATTCTCTCAGTATAGCTTTGGACAAAAAAAAAAAAAAAAAACCACAATAAAATGTTTACATCATTTGATACAAGACATGACATTAAATACAACATGTGTTTTGCTTTCACTGAAAGAGGAGTGATGAGGAAAAAAGGGTTGTTGGGGCTGGGGGCAGAGAGAAGAGCACACCTAAAACCAGCCCAGTCACAAAGCTTAAAAAAGAAGGGATTTCATAAGTCAACCAAGGATTCACAGGTTCCTCAACACTACTAAAACCAAAGTATGTGAATGAAAGAAATAAGATACTATTCCACATTAAAATAAATGCATTATTTGTGATTCAAGTACAAAGCAGCAGCGTCCAACACAACAGTTTGTCTTTTGCTGTGCAAAGTTGGAGGGTGTCAAGGGTTGCTCCCATCTTGTCAGCCTCAGCAGCTTGGAAAGGTGGAGAAGGTGCCCTGCCAATCATATAAACAATTCTGGCAAGATGGCAGACTGGCCCAGCCACATCTGTGTGTGCATGCGCGCGCGTGTGTGTGTGTGTGGGGGGGGGGATTTAGGCCCTACAATACATTGTTCTCCATAAAGAGAAGTAAAGACTAATTTAGACAACACCCTTTTCAGAGATGGTGGCATCCCCATATTTGGGTTCTTATCCCCCTGGCCATATGTTAACAGAACAGAACATCAGGTGAATCCCACCTATCGATTCGCTTCCCCAGTCCAAATTCTACTGGCATGCTGTCACTGATATGAGCTGCAGGCAGGCAAATTCTACATGATGGATAGGATTCAGGTAATGATTTTAATTGCAAAATACAGCGGGGAGGTGGTGAACAAGGCAGATGAGTGGTGTGAAAGTTAGATTGGCTCTAAATAAATTTGCACTGTGTCACTTAGGCAAGCTGCTTAGTGAGTTTTCCAAGAAAGGACTAGTAGGGAACATGTGACTGAACATGCCAGGGCAGTAACCACTGTCCTCACCAATTCAGTATTGCAGGGTACAGCAGAAATGGCAGGAAGTAATTCCAAAAAAAAAAAAGGCAAAATCACTTTGCCCTTAACTTCCACGTTGTAGAAAAGCAGCAGTTCAGCAGCACCTAGCACAGCAACTGTTTGCCACTTGATGGGAGGCAGCCCAACATGAGCTCATGCATTTCGCACTTATATACTGTGGAAACCATACTTCTGATCCTCTAACATAAAACTGTGGGGCATTCTCTTACAAGGGCAGAAGGGCAGGAAAGGACCAGCATAACAGAATACAGCAGAATATTTTCAAACATTTATAGGAATATTTTACAGGAATCGCCTGCCTCTTTATGGAAAAACCTACGTGCATCAGAACCTCATGGCTGGTGCTACTGTGCCTGTACATACATGGCAGGTAAAGACTGCTGTAGATAAAGCAGCTGCTACCATATCAACTGGAAACTGTCTCACCTCACATTCAGGCAAAAAACCCCTCTGTCTCCTAGCTCATCTCAAACTAGTGGTGGCATTTAACACTCTGGTTACTTTTTGTCTTGGGAGGAGACGGACACTTCCTGACACAGAACAAGGAACTGTTCAATAAGAGGTCAGAGAGTACTGAGCAGACGTACAGCTCTGCAGACCTCAGCACTGGTTTGATCTGGGTTATGAAGTGGGGCTTTCCCGTAAAGTGGGTCCCAGAGTTTGGAATGAACCCCTGTCAGATTGCAGCCACCAACATATACAGGTCTGTCCATGGCACGTTTCCCCTCCTCCCCTTATGCACCAACACCAACTGAGAGGGTGCAGCTGGCAGCATTATACAAAAGCAGATACTCTAGAAGAGATTTGATTTGCCACAAGTCACCAAGATATTAAAGACAAGAGATAACAAAGAGTGGATAATCTTGTTGCATCCAACATGCAAAAGGAGGAATGAGGGAAGTCTCTGAAGGAAGTGGAAACTATGTTCTTGTTCAGATACACCGCACATCTATAGGTCTGTAGAGAAGATTCTCCTGGTGGGGTAGTTTCCTGCTTAGCTGCTCTCCAGGATATCAGCTTCTGAACAAGGTTCCACCTTCACATTTAATCCAGTAGACTACTGCAAAGAGAGAAAGTGCAACTGGCACAAGGGGTGATCGTGGCTACAGGTGCTGGCAGCACACACGGATGGGCATCCAGACAGGGAAAGTGCATGCAAATTCACAAGCCAGTTGTGCACCAGGCATTATTCGCAAAAGCTGCAAAAGAAAGAGGTTGAGCTCTTACTTTGCACTAAGACAGGCTGAGGAAAAATGGCAAAACCAAAATCAAATATGCCAACATCTTTTTGCATGCTGCCTTAAGCAGAATTTGCCTTGCTTCATCCCAGAATTAACAGGGATGTGAACGTGGCCCAAATAGAAACAAGGGTAACCTGCTATTTATCTCTTGAATGCATGAATTAAGATTTTAATGCATTCCCATGTCTCCTAGCTCCTGTAGTTAGCTTTTTAAGAAGTTACCATTCCTAATCTGAAGGTACCTAAGAATTAATACACAAATTCACTAACTGAAACCCAGCCCAAAGTCCTCCAACTGTACTTGTGTAAATATAACAAAAAGAAAAATGACCTCAGAGACACACGGCATTGTGTGTGTGTAGAGAGATCTATATGAGTCCACATTCCCCACTGTCAATCTTGCTTCCCTGAAAGCTAGCATGTCATGGAAAAGGGGTCTAGCCTAGTCTGATGTGCATGTTCAGAAAGTTTCTTGTATTTCCAATCTGAAAAATTCACAGTCCAAGTAGGACTGTACCATATTTCTTAACCTGATGTTCAGCAAAGCATTTAATCTGTGCTTGAACATGCTGGGCTGGAATTCGACTGTAACTCAACACATAGCTGGAATTATTTATTTATAATAATTCTATACTGCTTAATAAAATTCTAAGTAGTTCAGTATATTTAGAAGAGTCTAAAATGTGCCTTTCAGTATATTCAGAGTGCTTCCCCTGCATCACTGAACCAGCCCTGAAATATACAGGGGTTTGAGGGGTCAGAAGGTACTGCTTCTTTGCAAATTTAAGCCATGAAAGCTCCATCCTGTCTTACATAACAACATTCATATACAAAGCAGTATCAGTGATCAAAAGGTGATACTGGCTTGGTTTGCACATAACACAACACAATAGGATGGGTTGTTCAATTCTGGGTTGTCATGATATGTGAACAGAGGCATGCTAACAAATCATGATTTGTTAACCATGAACTGCCCAAAAAGAAGAGCCATGTTTGGAATTCTGTGGCTTTTTAAAGGTTGCATGAAAATGCAGAAGTATGAGTTGTCCATAGGTTGTTTTGTAATATTATTGGGGTGGGGGCAACAACAATAAAAAAAATTCTAACTACTTTACATGCCAGTACTACAGCACTGCAAGCCATTTGGAATCCAGGGAGGAAGTGGGCAGAGGAGAAGGAGAGAGAGAAAAAACAACCTAGGAACTGGGAAAACAAACCACGGTTTGTTCTATCATCTTCCAGACAAATCATGGGTAGGGCAATTTACCATAATTTAAATAAAACATGGGTTAACACTTTACATGCAAACCAGGCTATCAGAGCAAGAAACTGCCTAACAATCAGAATAGGCTGTTAGAGGGTGGAATAATTTAAAAACCCTCTTTTCATGAATGAAAATCATGCTAAATTCCTTTGGGGGCCAATGGTAAATGCAACGTTATTAACTATACATGCAAATTTGGCAAGAAGAAATGATCACATCCTTGTCAGATGTGTTACTTACGCTCCTTCTTCTCTTAGAAGTGCTAGGAATTTTCTCACACGGTACTCAGGGTCCATCTTAGGTGTTAATAAACAAACATAAAAAGTTATGAATTATCAGGTTAATAACAGTAAACTCGGTGAAAGGCTAGCAGCAAAACACAAGACTTTATTATATTTACATTCTAGCTTTCCCTCAAGGGGGTCAAAGAAATTCACATGCCCCTGCCCTACTTCACATTTACAAGAATCCTGTGATATTGGCTTGGCTGTGAGAAAGTGATTGGCTAGAGGAAACTCATTGGCTGACTGGGAATATGAAACTGGGTCTCGTTAGTTCTATGACACTGGGTCTCTTGCAACTCAATTTGTATTATACAAACTAATTAAAATGAAGTCCAAGTAGGAACATGGAGCCAGTGTGGTGTTAGTGGTAAAAGTGTTGGATGGGGAATCAGGAGAACCGACTTCTAGTCCCCACTTAGTCATGGAGCTCACTGGGTGACTTTGGGCCAATCACTCAATCTCAAACTAGCTTAACTCACAGGGTTGTTGTGAAGAGTGAGAGGAACAGGAGGATTATGTAAGTCACCTTGCATTACATGAAGGAAAAAGGATGGGCTATAAATATAATAAATAAAACGTAGGTGGAAATGTACACTTCAATACTTTTTCATTAAACCTATACTTATTTTTACCACTAACATAAAATGCACCACTATAACTTAATGTACAAAACTGTAACTATTTAGAATTTTTATGAAATTTACTGAACATTTTTTTAAATATATGCTTTTACTTAATCTTCTAAGGTGAAAGGAAACTTCTGTTGCTGAGGAAGTTTTTGACAGAAATCCTCACCCACTATTTCAGTACACATGCCTCTAGCAGATTTCCATTTATTCTCATAGTTCCTTGAAACCATCCTACAAACTGAAAGTACTAACACCAAAGAGTGTGAGGGTTGTGTGGATCCTCAGGTGACTACTTGAAGAACTACAGTTCCAAGTAAATAACCTGCCTTTCCTCTTTGTGGTCTCTTTGCATCACACATATGGTCAAGGAGCAAGCTGACCAGGTGGGGTTCATCAAAAAATAGGCCTCAAATTGGTTTTGGTCTTGATACCAATCAATAGGGATAAGGTGCAACTGCCACTGTTGTTTTGAGTGCCGGGAAGGCCTCAACTGGAAGTAATCTTTAGCTATGCTGAGAAATTGTGATTTTTCCTACCAAATTGATGAAATGGATTAAAACTATACTTAACTGGAGTTAGCATTTTATCTGATTATTTTTTTTACTTGGAAGAGGTAGTAGACAAAGATGTTCGCTTTCCTCACTGCTATTTGACCTATGTTTGGACCATGTGCTATTCAACAGAATGCTGATATTCATCAATTTGTGCGTAACTGTTCAGATGTTAAACTTATTCTTGATGCTCAAGGTCCTTTTATCATTTCCTTCAAAATTCTAGTTGTTTGTTACAGCTTTGATCCAGAAGATCAATAATTTAGGTTATTTGTCTCCCTGTTCAATTAACAGGGAAACAATTAATCAAGGCAGAATTTGGTCTGAGTCAGATTCTGCCTAGATTTCATAATTTATTTGGGAAAACTAACTCCTAGAGAAATATTTCAAACAACAAAACCACATTTGATCAAGTTGACAAATAAGATCTTATGGGATATCAATAGAAGGGCATCTTTAAAGCTGAGCTTATGAGGTAGGGCAAGTATACTCAAAATAACTGTAATACCTGACATTCATTCTTTTTTACATCATAGAATCATAGAATAGCAGAGTTGGAAGGGGCCATGAAGGCCATCGAGGCCAACCCCCTACTTTTGCAGGACACCATGTTACACCATCCCACTCACATGGCTGTCCAGTTTCTATAACCTGGCAAGTGTTTTCAAAAACTTCATGTTTTGTTTTGTACAATCTTATGGAGTTACCCTCCTCCATGAATATTTCTGAAAACAATGCAACATCTGATTAAAAAGGATGGATTTATTTGGTTTGACCTTGGTTTACATCATTGGACCTATTTGTTGACTTGTACTAAATTTGAGCCTTTTCCACTCAGATTAACCTCCCCCCCCCACCCCAACCCATTAGTATTGGAATATTCATGACTGGCTCCTCTCCCCAAATGGATTATATTTCATTATATATTATATGGATTATGTCTCCCAATATCATAGAATCACAGAATCATACAATAGTAGAGTTGTCATCCTGCTCTAACAGTCAAGAAGTTCTTCCTGATGTCTAGCCAGATTCTGCCTTCCTGTAACTTGAGCCTCTTATTCCATGTCCTGCATTCTGGATGACTGAGAAGAGATCCTGGCCTTCCTCCCTGTGACATACTTCCAAGTACTGGAAGAGTGCCATCATATCTCACCCCAGTCTTCTCTTCTCAGAGCTAAACATACCCAGTTCTTTCATCTTTCCTCACAGGGCTTTGTTTCCAATCCTCAGATCATCCTTCTTGCCCTCCTCTGAACCTTTTCCAGGTCTGCATCTTTTTTAAACTGTGGTGCCCAGAACTAGACAGAGTACTGCAGATTAGGCCTAACCAGTGTTGAGTAAAGGGGAACTAGTCTTCATGTGATTTGGAAGTGAGATTTAGCCTAAAATCACATTTGCAGTTTTTGCAGTCCCATCACATTGTTGACTGATATTCAGCTTGACATCTACAACAATTCTCACTTGCAGTACTGTTGCGCCAAGTATTCCCCATCTTGTAATGATGTATTTGGTTTCTTTTTCCTAGGTGCAGAACCTGGCACTTGCCCCTACTGAATTTCCTTCTGTTGCTTTCAGCCCAGTGCTCCAATCTATCAAGAGCACATTGAATCTTCTTCCTGTCATCCAAGGTATTAGCTATCCGGTTTTGTGTCATCTGCAAATCTGATAAATGTTCCTTGCACTTTGTCAACATTCATACAAATGTTGAAGCACACTGGGCCCAGGACTAAACCCTGCAGTACCCCACTTGTTATCTCAGCTGAGTTTGAGAAGGTGCCACTGATGAGCACTCCTTGAGTCTGGTTCTGTAGCCAACTGTGGATCCACCTGATAATTGTTCTATCTAGCCCACTTTTCGCTAGTTTGCTAATCGGGCGCTTTGTCAAAAGCTTTGCTGAAGATATATTATGCCCACAGCATTCCCACAATCTATCACGGTGGTTACCCAATCAAAAAGTGAAATCAGATTAGCAGGATTTGCTCTTTAACAAATCTATGTTGACTTCTAGTAATCACTGCATTGCTTTCAAAGTATTTGCAGACTGGCTACTTTATAATCTGCTCCAGAATTTTCCCAGGGATTGATGTCAGACTGAGTGGTCTGTAGTTTCCAGGTTCTTCTTTTTTGCCTTTCCTGAAGATGGAGACAACATTAGCCCTTCTTCAGTCATCTGGCACTTCCCCAGTCATCCATGATTCCTCAATGATAATGGATGATGGTTCTGAGAATTCTTCTACCAACTCCTTTTTGCCTCCAGGATGCAGTTGCCTGGGTCCTGGAGATCTGAACTTGTTCAACCTTATTAGATTATCCTTGACCATTTGCCTATCAATCTTGAGTTGCCATCCTGCTCTGTCAGCTTGTACTTCCCCTTCATCAGGAAGGTCATAGATCTTTTGGGAGAAACTAAGCCAAAGTAGGCATTGAGCACTACTGCTTTTTTGTCATCTGTTATCATTTTGCCATCCACAATGAGTAGTTGAACCCCCATTTCTTTCCTCTGTCTATTACTATGGACAAATTTGCAGAATGCTTTTTTTGTTGCTTTTAGCATCCCTTGCTAACCTCAGTTTGTTCCTAGCTTTAGCCTTCCTGATACCATCCCCAAAATTCTATGCTACCAGCCTGTATTCTTCCTCCCTTCTGCTTCCTCCCCATGACCTTTCTTGTTTTCAAATCATCTCTAAGCTTTTTGTTAAGCCACATGGGCTCCTTCTGTTGTCTTCTACCCTTTTTCCCTTGTTGGAATAGTAACTGTGCCTTAAAAATTTCCTTCAAAAATATTCCCATCTTGGAATCCTTTTCTCATTAGTCATTTGCCATGGGACTTTGCTTATCATTGTTCTGAGTTTATTAAAATTGGCTTTCCTAAAATCCAGGGTATGCATTTGGCTACACTTGACTTTTGCTTCCTTTGGAATCAAGAATTTCGAGTATGGCATGGCCACTTTCCCCCAGAGTTCCCATAGCTGACAACAAAAATGGTGAAACTGGCAGAACCACATCCAAGTCAAATCTTACAGGCCTTCTGCCCATTACAGATACTTTACTAAGTGTGAGCAACTACTGACTTTTGCCTATAGGTATGGAATTAAAGAATCAAGGGGAAGGGAGGAAAAAGAAATCTAGATAAATGACTTTATACCCTCAGGTGACATTCAGTAAGAGCAGATTCCCAGCCCTATACAAGTTCCAACAGAATCACAAAGAGCAAGTCAGGGGAGGGGGAGGGGGAGTGTTTAACACATCAACAAACTGCATGCCTCTTGGCTTATAAAGCCTGCCCTGGTGCTCTAGATCCCTGAAGTACAGCTTTAGCACTACATGTTATATTCTCACAGTCTAACAGCACTTTCTCTCATAGGAGCCTCACTGAAATTAATGAAAACTGAAGAGGGGAAGCTTGTATCTTTTTTGTTTATTCTGATGAGGCTCACAGAGGACACTTGGCAGGTGGATTATTCCCTTACTTATCAGTGGCTGGCGCTTCTGCACATTTCCAAAACTGGACTGGGCATATCTGTGAATATTTTTTGCATCTTCTAGGTCAGGGCATTTAGGTTATAGGCCTAGAGGTCTCTAGGGCATCAAGCAGAGACCTTTCCTTACTGCTGGAGGTTCTTCAGCTGGAGAAGCCATGGTCTGAAGCTGGGTTCTAGTGTATCAAAAGCTCTAACACTGCACTATAGACCTTGCCCTTGCTATAAGGTTTGTTTTTCTGGATCAGGTCAGTGTTTAGTATACTGTCTCCAACAGTGGCTAACCAGATCCCCATAAAGTAGGAAAGTGGGTCATGAGAATGATAAATTATAACTCCCTGATTGTCTGCAGCATTCAGAGTAATACCACTTTTGGTTTCATCCAGCTACCATGGTTAACACTATCATCTTTTACAATACCTATTTCTTGCATACAGAATCTGGTATCTAGAGGTATAGCCTGTGTATACTGAGATTCCTTTCAATGGCTAATGTTGCCATTGATATAGCTTATCCTCTGTTAATGGGTATATCATCTTCCATTATGTCCTGAACCTGCACAATGGAGAACTGTGCAACTGGTTCCATGGAGCCATGTTTGTTGAACAGTAGCAAACATAGCAAATAGCCCCACGTGGTCAAATGGAAGACAGGTGACATGGCAGGGTGAGTTTCCATCTGTCTTGGCTGGCCAATTATGGAGCCACTAGTAGTATCTGGTGATATGAAATTCGGGATTGTCTTCATAGCTGCTTTAGAAACACCTTTTGAGTCAGTATAATGCAGTGAAGATTAATCGGATTTCAGGAATCAAGATTCAATTATCAGGAACTGAGGTGACAGGATTAATTATTTAGACCATGGGTTCTCAAACTACAGCCCGCGGGCTGGATCAGACCCACCATGCCCATTTATCTGGCCCACCTCAGAGGTTTTGGATTCACTTGGAGAAAACGATCTCTGCGTGAGCAAGCTGCTGCCTCATGTGCGTGCGCCCAGTGGCAGCTTGCTCACGCAGAGAGCGTTTTGGACTTACTTAGAAAAAACAATCTCTGTGTAAGCAAGCCGCTGCCTTGCTGCGCGTGCCCGTCCCCACCCCCACCAGCACCACCTTGCCGGCCTGCGCCCACTGCCGGCACCTTTCAACTGGCCCCCTGTTGAAAAAGTTGGAGGACCCCTGATTTAGACCCAGTGGCAACTGAGCACCTAGAGTTTTATTCCCTAACAGATGGGGGGAAGAATCAAGTTTTATCCATGCAAAGCAGAAACCATCCAACAATAACAGCACCAAGTCTACAACTGAAATTGCAGTCCCTCCCAGTCTAGGTGTACTATGGATATCAGTGAGCATCACTATGGCCTCCTGATGACCAATGGCCAATGCTTCAGCAAAGGCACTGACTTCACTATATACAGGCTTTCCTTGGCTGGGTGCGAGGCAGCAGAGTCCCCAGCAGAAGCACTGGCTCTGCAGCATGATCTTCCAGCCACTGCCTCAGTCAGCTTGGCCCACCTTGCACCTTCCTATGTTGTACAGGTTGTGGGGCAGCCAAAGCTAGCAGGGAGGAGAATCCCTGCTGTTATCCTCTGATCACATAGGCACAATGCTCTTGCTCTAGTCTTGAAGGGGCAGGGCTTCAGGGAAGATTTTGTCTGAAGCCCTGGGGTACTGGATGGGCTGGTTTTGTGGGCCAAACTCTGCCTCAGTGTTATCAGGTTATCACTCATTTTGCAATGTTCAGAGCTAGTTTATTAATGTGATCATGTTCTGCTACAGAGTCAGTAGTTTTAACTACTGTTAAAAAGGTTGCCAGAAATGAGAGCCCAATACATATTTAGCTTCATCATTATTTACATTTTAAATGTTCAACTGTTCATTACTTTGAGCCCTTATAATTTAAAGGAATAAAACAGACAAATACCTTATTACCACACACAGGGGCAAGTGTGGTACTTACTGATATAAAAGTAATTAGTCTCAAGGTAAATGTTAAAAATTAAGATTTCAGTTCTATTTTCCCTTCTTCAATATTCTGGATTGACCAGAGGGTGGACAACCCATTTGTCGAACCAAAGGACAAGTCTCCTACCTGTAACGACATTTCAATCAACATCAGGAGCTTCTTGATGCCAATCCAGACTGTCTTCCCTTTGACATGCTGGGCAATGGTGCTGCGCTCCTTGTCTTTAAAGCCACTGAGAAGCTAGAAAGGGATGAAAGGACGACGTTAGGACTGTTTAAAACCAAATTCAACCCAACCCAGAGATAGCCCTTTTCTTGACCCAAAACTGGAGTTTCTATGCAATGCACACCAATACTAAAGCAGCTCACTTCTTACAAATGAAGTCTCACATTGGTCCAGTTTACTTCTTTCCAAGATACAAAAGCAGATCATAAAGAAAAAATAAAGCAAAGCCATGTTTATTCATGTCACTACCTTCTTTGTGTCAACTACAACGGCAGGGGTCTAAATGTCATCTCAAGGGCTGCAAATAAGACTGTTTCTTTTCTCAACTTTGATCATTTCAGGAACTTTTCTCCCAGGCCGTTACCGATACTGAACACAAACCAGTCTGGGCAGAACTGGAGTGTTGAAATAAGAACCATGTGACCAAGTAAGGTCAGCGGACAGAGTCTAGCACCCAACTCGCCACTTTTGATGTTAAAATTAAGCCTCTCAATTTCAGTGGGATGGGAGCAAGTATGTAATGGCTGGGTTTGCATGACACTACAAGTCAGGATGGGCAACAAGCCATGGTGGGGTTTCATGTCATGCGAACTTGCACCAATTCTCTCAGAGTGGCTTATTCATGGACAACAAGTCACTCTAACAAACTCATGGCTTATTTTTAGGGGTTGTTGTACCCATGATTGGTTGCAGTGTCATCCAAAGTCAGGTGACCAAACCCATCATGAGCACTGGAAAGCAGCCAGAGAGCTGTTTGGCAAAAGCAGCAAGAACACCCATGCCACTGGCAATGACAGGCATGCCACAGATTGCCAGGCAGCTCTGTGGAGCAACCATCACTGGCTTAGTGCCATGCCATGACTGTAAGCCACAACTGTTTTGTTTTGTTTTCCCTTTATAATATCCAAGTTAACAGCCAGTGACAGCTCCTTCCAAATGCTCATGCGGCACACAACAGGTCTTCCTTGCTAAAGTGTTTTCTCTATGTTCGAAATGCACACAGTAACTGATCCTAGGGTTTTGGGAGGAGGTTGTTTTCCCCACAGTCATGATGGGGCAAAATGTATTGCCATCTCCATGCTTCCCTCCACGTTCCATGACAGATGTTAAATTTGTCATGCCATAATTCCATAACAGGATTTCAAGCTTTCTAAAGGCAGCAGTGATGGACTTAACCTGCCCCAGTTATTCCTATTTCCACAAGACAAAAGATACTGGGCTCCTCTTTTCAACTTTCTTCCTCTAGGTATTCCCAAGTGCCTTCTGACCTCCAGGGCCTCCATGAGATGCTCTCCTGTAGCAATGTTGGGAACATGAATAGTAGTGCTAAAAGCATCCAGCATCTCCATTTCCTGCAGGACATCCTTGCGACTGGTGGTCCCAATGATCAAGAGTTTCCGGCCCTGCATATTTTTTAAAAAATGAAGAAAAAGATTATATAAAGGAAATGAATTTCCAGCTTTTTTGGAAAAATGATTTTTTCTAATCTATATTCTTAGTAATAAATGTTAACAACTAATTAATATACAGAGAAAAACATTAATTTTAAGCACTGGTTTCCATTGCTTCTTTGAAACAATATTTCGTCTGATTTGAAACCCATTTTTTCCTAAGCCCACAAATCCCTCCAGCTGGTTTAGACCAAAGGTTAACTTCAATCAGCATCCCCATTTCCAATGCTGGCCAGGCAAATGCTTCCAGAAAACTAAGAGAAAAGCATGTATCTTTGTATTTAGAGGTATTGCTGACTCTAAACATGGAAGTTCCATTTAGCTACCATTGCTAATAATAAAACAATTCTCCATTAATTTGTTGAAAAAGCTTAAAATATAATCTAAAGCCTCCCTCCAAAGAGCCATCAGAACTGTGCTGTTAGTGTGAAAGCTTCTAACAGAATTATTTGCACCCTCACCAAACTAAACTTTCCAAAAATCTCTGTTGGAGAAGCCACTAGAGTAATATTGGTATCAAGCCAACTTTGCAGCACAGCTTAGATTAGCCTTTAAATAGCAAGAAACCCCATCTGCCTTCAGGTGCCTATGAGCTTCCCCAACAGATAGTCACAGATAAGTGGTGTTTTTGACAAGCACAGAAATACAAGAGATTGCTATCAAGAAGGGATATATGTGAAATTCATTTCAGTTTGCTTCTGAACAGAATTCACCTAGTTTGCTTTTCCTGGATCCAAACAGTCTGTGGTGAGCATATCAACACTTCCCAGTCTGAGATTTACAGACCAAAAAAAAAAAAGCATTCAGCAAAGCACACATTTGGAAAAAAAAATGCACACAAGTCTACATTAGTCAGTGGGAGAAACAGCAAACAAGTAATGTGTGCATTTATGAAAATATGCATACACTGTCATGCAAAAAGAAAAAAAATCTTGCAATCTGATGTGGATACAAGTTAGAACAAACTTGCAGGTGGAATTTGGAGAATCCTGATGAACTCAAGTTCTGCTGAGGCCTGGAATAAAGTCCTAGCATCAAACAAACTGAATACTTCAGTTTCTCCTCAAACAGACAATCTGAGGGTTGAGCCAGAGACTGTAGGTGGTAGGTCAGAACTCAAGGGCAATTCAGGTCTTTGCTTGAATGCTTTCCATGGGCACTGCGTGGCTTTTATAAACTGACTTCCCTCCTCCTCATGAGTAACCCCAGTGCATGCGCTAACCTCTTAAGTAAGCCAAGCCTGATTAAGCCCAGGATAATGGTGGACTGTCTGAAGGAGAACAGCTCTGCCAGAAGCTGGAAGAAAGGGCCAAGCATAAAGAAATTGTGATGAAAGATGGTTCTGCCTGGGCAATACTGCAACCCTGCCAGCTGCAAGGCCACAGAGCTTAATCCTGGTTGCTGGTGAGCAGAGTCACCAAACACATGCTGAAAATGTGTTGGTGTAGTGGCAGGTACACTTTGCTTCTAAACTGGGAACACACTCACTCACTCACATTATCCTGCTGTCCAACTCAGATGTACATGTAGTTATAAGCTCCAATTCTCTGAAAACAGCACCTAAGGGTCAATTTAAACATGAAGCGGCACACAAAAAACTGGGAACTCCAATAAGAACAGAGCCAGGTGATGGTGCAATTTGTGGGTGAGATGTGGCAAGCAGATGGAAGGGATTAAAATGGTGCTTCCTGCTGGTATTTTGCATCAAGCCATACAAATACCTCATGAGTAGGTTGAAGGGGAAAACACCTTCCCTTGTCTGCCTGTTCTCTCTTGTGCATCACTGTGTATCATAGCAGAGAAAGCCCATTCAGGTGTGCTTGCCTGCAGACATTTAAAAATTCTCCCTCAATTGTCAGGTTTTTAAGAATTTTTGAAATGCCTGCATTCTGGAATCGGAGATCATGTGCTTGCATTCAATACTGCTTCATCATAATGCATGCTGAAGCCATTTGAAATAATGTTATAGCTGAAATTTTAAGTTTTATGAACTTGAGTTGTCTAGTGTGATGACTGAACCTGGCACCCTGGGCTATCTGTAAACTAAAAATGTGGAACTCCACCTCTGGAGTTTTAATCCTGCAGCAAACTCTGGGGTGTTTGTCCCTCAAAACCCAGGGTTGCTGGGCTTGCACAATGCATCAAACAACACAGGATGCAAAGGGGGAGTGGTGAGTGCCTGAGTGGTAACTTGTTCACTGTTGTGCAAACCTGCCAATTCATGGGATAAACATTCCATGAATACGCATTACCTGCAAACTACATCATGTAAGAGGCCATCAAGAGGCACATGCCCTCTCCAAATGAGTACAAGAAAATCTTAAGAGATTCCTTTGTGTCATGTGTATATTGAAGGCAAGAACTAAAAAGAGAATTTGAAGTGTGTGGTTTAGTAATTAAAAGTTAAACCTATCAGTTTTTCCCCAGACTGCCAAGAATATACATCCTTAAGTGAAAAAGACACATTTCAGCATCTGAGTTCCACAGATGGAGAATCCTGTGTTAACATTTGGAATAGCCCAAGTAGGCCTATTGTCTGTTTTCCCCTGCTCTTCCTTGGGGAGCAGACTAAGGGAGAGTTTCTTTTGAGCAGGCCTATCTAGGGAACATCCCAAAGTGTCCACTGGATTTCTCCTAACACTGACCAAATTGTCTGTCCAGATTAAGAAAAAAAATGGTGGGTGTGTGGGGGAGATACCACAATGGGCTTTCACCCTCTCAGTCCAATTGTTAGCTTTTTCAGAGGTACCAGCAGGGAATCATGTGTGAAGCCTCCATGGGGTTCCCAAGTATCCAATGCCTTGTGTGACTCTGCATGTAGATGAAGCGAGACTCGCAGGTTTGGCGAGCTGTTACTGCTCCATTCTCAGAGAAACCCTTTTTTCTCTGGCTTAGCTCCCTGCTGAGACAACGCTTTTCAGTCTCTCTGTCCTCCCCCTCATCCATTCCCACTTCTCAACAATCTCTTCTGCTTGCAAAACCCAGGGAAACTTGACCAAAGAAAAAGAGCAGAGAAAGAAAGAGAAAGTGAGAGTGTGGTGAGGAAAGAGAGCTTTTGCTTTCCTTTATTTAGAAAAAACAAAATTTAGAATTAATTTTGAAAAGATACAAAAATCACCCATTTGAATTTATCTGAACTTGAAAGGGATACTACCTAAAAGAAAACAGATTCTGTCTGTTTGCCAATCATCACCTTGCATCTAAGCAAAGAGGGAAAGAGCTGCTTGCCAGGTTTCTGGATAATTTTAGTCATATTGAATTTTTACGAAGCAGAAGAATCCCAGGATGTCTGGGAGTAGAAATTACAATAGTCCTAATTAATTCTGTGGAACCAAGAGGGCGGTTTTAAAAAAGCAAACCAAATAATTTTTATTCCTGCGAAAGAAAGACATACACACAAGAAGGAACAGGAAAGCCTAGGAGATAGTTGCATAAGCCTGTTTAAAAACCTATGGCATTCACCTCAAAGTATGATGCTACAATGGACCAGGAATGCATAACCTGTGTGTGAGCAGAATTTACAGGATGACTGATGCAGACAGGGTGCATGAATGACAGGAAAGTACAGTGTAAATCATACAAGCTGGCCACTGTATCGAGAGAGATAATGGGAAATAAAACATGCCACAAATGCAGCTTTTTGATTCAACTGGTTTCATTTGCTTTGTGGTCTGACAATGAGGCAGTCTGCAAACTAAAAATGTAAAATTTCATGATTCAGTGTATTTCATGCAAAATTCTGCCTGAAAACGCTCACACAGCAGCTTTATCATGAAATCATCAAGTTGGGAGGTGCTTATACAACTATGCCACCCTGTGGAATAATTGATATTTAATTATCTTGCACATCAGTAACTCGCCCTCTCTACGGACTCAGAAATACCTACATGGGGCTAACACATGTTCTCAACAACACTCTCAGAGATGTAAGTACAGCTGAAAGAAAAAGTCACCTGCCAAAACGATTCAAGTAATATAAATATGCCTGGGGCTTTTTTGTTTCACAAAGTCCTTGCCACATGAAAATTGACTCTGGATGGTTCTTTTAAAAAACACAGCATAACAAAACACCCTTCAGGAATCTGTCCTATGAATTCTGCAAATTCACTGTGAGAAGAATAATAAATTCACAAACATTTCCATTAGAAAATATGAATGGATTATAGATCTATAAACAGAACTGTGTATACTATAATTTGACTGAAGTACAGAAGAAATGCAGAAATTTAGGTATATAATCCAGAGAACTGCAACTTTCAATTTAAAACAAATGTCCAAGTTTCTACTCCTTTTAGGTGAAAAGATATGCATGACAGTATTTTGGAACGAAATAAATCCCTGAATAGGATTTTAATGATTGGCTTAGACATAGCTGGGCAACTTAGATTCTACAGATGTTTGACCTATAGCTCTATTCAGCCCTATGGTCCTTCTGGCTAGACCTGATGAGCTTACAAGCCCTTTCCAACTCTGGTACCCTCTGATTCTATGATTATCGTATTACACTTATGGGGTAAAACAAGAAAATTAAACCAGATTAAAGTGGTAATGCATACAAAAATCCTTCTTACATAGCCTACACAAAAAATGTATGTTTGAAGCAAAACATTTGAGTATTGCAAGCACAAAATGCAATCCCATTTCACCAGCAGGATGAAGTAGGGAGAGACCAGATGCAGCCGGGTGCTTTATTTAAACCCCTTAAAACTGTAAACATTGGAGTGAGTACCTACCAGCCAGAAAGCATAATCAACATAAATAATTTTGGGGGAAAAACCACTGGAATGTCCAGTGCAGAGGCACCATTAAAAATTTAGGACTAACTGAGGGTTTACTCAGTGAAGTGGGGTTCTGTCCTGACAAAAAGTACTACAAGAATCTGGGAGAGAAGACCTACAGCTGGGTCCTCAAACTATGGCCCACGGGACGGATCCAGCTCACCATGCCCATTGATCCAGCCTGTGCCGCCACCCGCACATGCCGCCTCACCGCGTGGATGGGAGGTGGTGGCTTGCTTACTCGGAGATGGTTTTGGACTCGTTGGGAGATCTCTGGGAGAGCGAGCTGCTGCTGCTGCCCCCCTCCCCCGCACGCGCACACTCGCCGCTGCCTCATAGCGTGGGTGGGAAGATGGTGGGGATCTCCGAGCGAGCGAGCAAGCAGCTGCCACGCGCGCCTGACAATGACTCACCGGCCTGCGCGCCCAGGTCCCCCCTCCTCGCCAGTCCACGTTGGTTGCCACCGCCTTTCAACTGGCCCCCTATTGAAAAGTTTGAGGACCCCTGACCTACAGAATGTCTTATACTAATTTTGATGTATTTATTTCAAACATTCTTCCAAACCATGGTTTGCATTAAAGATAGTCTAGGTCACAGAGCATGGTTCAAGGATCATATTTGCATTATTTTTCATCTGCTTAGCACTTGATTTCATAAATCCATTGCCACCTCCATGATTCAGCAGATGCTGGAAGTGAAACAAAGGCTTTTGTCAATTTGGACAGCACACCATACCATAGGTAAGCATTCTTAAAAGTGGATTGGCATGTTGTCCAAACTTAGTTTCCCTCTAGCCTACCCTTATGCAGAACAACAGTTTCTCACTTGGAGAGTTCCAGGTAATTCTCAGCCAAGTTATTCAGAGTGATCTTTTTAAGCTGGCAGTATCAGAAGTAGAACCTGTGATCTTCTACATGGAAAGGCGGTGTTTTGTCACTGAGACATAACCTTTCTTTCAGATGCAAAACCTTGGTTTTCTGTGTTGCTTCTTCCAAGGAATCTCAGCTTTTGTTAACACATAAATTCTACCCTTCATGCTTCTGAAAATGCATGGGCCACCTGTATCCTTGAACAGAAAAAAACTAAGGGTATTTGTGGCTAAGTATTGCTCTTTTCTCCCTACTGCTTTAAGTGAATTTACAATCCAGCTTACAAACATTTTAGCCTGCTTCACAAATCACAGACTTACATGTGGTGGTGCTTTCTTCAACAGCACCAGAAGAGCTTGTAACACCAAGTTGGAAAATCGTGGCCCAATTGGAACATAATCTGAAAGATGAGAAAGGCCAGAAAATTCACTGAAGTTTACATAAGTTAACAACAAATTCAATTATTGTTCTGTATCAAAATTTGGGAGGTTTAGGTTAGTATTGCCAAGTAGGGATGCAAGAGGAATCTGTTTTGGGGTGGGAATAGATCAGATTCCCTGAGCTCAGAGTCATGGCCATGAGTCTAAGTTTCTAGACAGCATGAATGCTGTTGAAGCAATGCCCCTTTTTCTTGTCACATGCAGCAGCCTTTGCATGTGATGCGGAAGAAGGCTGCCAGCTCCACAAACTTCATCCTGCAAGGTGTTCGCAGACTTCCTTTTGGCTCAGCTCGCTTTCTAAGACAGGGCCAAGCATAAGAGGAAACCCACAAATGCTAGAGAGATGGATTCCATGAAGCTTCATTGCATTCCATGTTACCAAGTGTCAACTGCCTCTTCCTGGGCTGAAGCCCGAATACCTTGGGCTGGTGACTTAAGGGATGTTAGATAGGATCCCAACAGAAGGAGACTAAGCAGTCAAGACTAAGCATTCAAGCCTCTTTATGTTGCTAGGCCAGAGGAGTTCAGGTGTATCCATTACAAAGGTGTCCATATCAGGCTTGCTCACTACTCTAAACAACCCTTTTGGCTGCCTACAGATTACCTTCACTTTCCTTCCAAGCCTTCACATTATCTGCATGAAAGTTCAATCTGACATCCCATGGACCATCGCTCACAATTTAAACACTGGCTTTCATTTTTTTGATTTAAAATTGTTTGTCAACATTTAAGGTTCAAGCCTCAAGGAAGCATTCTTATCAATGCTCAGCATTTCCATGATGAGAGTTCAAGCACAGCAATGAAATTTATGGAAGTAGGTCCTGGCCCAAACAGAGCACCATATGGATGCTATTTGATTGCATCCATCCTCAGAGATAACCCCTTTCCGCCTTTCTCACCTAGAAGTCGTTCAATGTCATCCACCACCACACAGCTGAGCTGAGACTTATAAGCATCATCGAAGATCTGTTTTTTGAAAAGTGAAAACAGACGCCCCCCCATTTTTACTTCTTAGTATTATAGCCATAATTACTGTACTTTCATTTTAAAGGACAAAACAAAGTGAAAGAAATAAAACTTGACATGGGTCAAAACAGAAGCTTTAGTTACAAGTGTACATTTCTTAATTTGCAAAAATAACAACAAAGAAACCAAATGCACTACTGACTTATATGAAAAGCTCAATATAGTCAAAGTAATATTTTGAAACGTCTTAGAACATGAGGCAAATTCCAGAAATAGCAACTTGGCAATAGTTGCTGTCTTGAACAAGCATAGTCAAGCCTGAAGAACAGGTGTTTTGAAGACTGCTAAAAACACAGAGATTAATGAAGGAATATCATGCATTATATATTGCCAGTCAATTCCTCCTTTACAGAGGTTATTAGACATTTGGAATCCTTGGGAGAGGAAATGCCGCCAATTTTTGAAAAATCTAGCATCTTCTTGCCATTTTTTATTGCGTATTATCAAACTGTCCCCCTTCCTAGAAAGTTTTCCTGGATTTTGGAAGGGTGTTGTATTAACTGCGATTCACAAGTCTTGGGGAAATATCTATACTCCAAAGAGCAGGTGATAAAATGCTTTGGCTTTTACACTGATTTCTTTTTGTTTGCTCTCTATGGTCATCATGCCTCTATCATGCTAGATAGATGGAGCTTCTCTATGTAAGCCAGATAAATTAGGGTACCTTATTTCAATTTGAGCCCTATTTAAGGTTCCTCATCCAAAAAGGCTAAACAAGCGAGGGACATGGAGCATGTGCCTCACTCACTTGCATCACCCTCTGTATGCAGAAAGAGGCATTTTGAAAATAAGCCTTTACTATCTATGGAGGCTCTAGAATGCATGTCTATCTGCTAGAACAGACACCAGCCTTTGTGCTTGACCTGAACTCAGCAGTGACCGGTTGGCTCATAATATTGTAGTGGAAGTAGCACAATGAGCATGAAAGCAAAAACCTGGTGCAGAGAGCTTTGCAGTGCATACCTTCTTAATTGCCTGGCACTTGGCAGTTTCTGAAAAGCCAATCATCTTATCAGGAGAGCAGATCTTGATAAAAGGGAAGTTAGATTCTTCTGCAATCTTTGCAGCCAGAGCTGTCTTCCCACTGTGTGGGGGACCTGTATGGGGAAAGAAAATCGCAAGGCAGAACTGAGCAATAGGGGACAGCAAAAGCTACCCAGGTCCAAAGAAACTGAAAAACCATGACTAAAGCTACTTGTATGTTTCAAATGAAAATGAGATGTACAATCTTTTCTTAGTTCCTGGAACAGCTATGCATCTAGAATTCTGCACAGCACAAATTTTTACTACTTGACTGACAAGGTGCTCCATCAAACAGCCTCCCAATTTCAAAACTGTGTCCCTCAAGTGGAATGCTCACAACTGAATAGTCCCATCCACCCCAGCATCATCTGGTTCCTTAGGCCTCTTCTAAGGCCTTTAACTCTGGCTAAACTATTTTATCCTTGTACCTTGTTTACATTTATTTTAGAATATTCATATACCACTTGGCATTTTAAAAAATCTCAAAAGGTTTAATTATAAAGCAGTACATCATTATAAAAGCACAACATTTAGACTAATGGTTGGGATAAGCCAGAGCTAACAAGTGAGTTTTTAATCATCCTCAAAAGCACATGATTGTCAGTGTCTGATGCATCACAGAGATGAGCATGTCAGAGAGAGGGCACCACCACAGAGGAGGCCCTTTCCCATGATGCTGCAGGATGTGGCATGAGCAGTAAAGCCCCTCTGAAGGTCACAGTGGTATAGTGGGGCTATTTAGGGTTACAATCTTTCAATAATCTTATCTAACTTAGGGCTTTATATGCCAATAACAATAACATCAGCCTGTATTAATATGGACATATTATTATAGATCTCCTGGTTTAACTTTTAATAAGTTATTTTATTTATTTGTATTTTTCATGCTAGTCTCCCTCATAATTGGATTGAAAAGAAGGGCATAAATTCTGATAATACATGAAAAACCCTGGTCCATGTTAAACTATAATTAAAAAACCAAGCCATGGTTCAAGCTTCTAAATGCACAACAGGCGAACTGCAGTTCAGAGTTTCCTGCACTCAGCACCATCTGTTGATTCCTATCTCCAGGATTTATCAGCTTCTAGAGGCAGAGCATTGTCATAGGTCAACTCAGCCACTGCACCAACCCTAAGTTAGCACATATCATGCTCTACAAAGCCACTGTCAACAATGGGGAGAGGGGCGATTACCTGCTGAATTCAGGTCATGCTTTCTCAATACAGAAATTACATGAAGCCATAGTTAAGCTTATTTCATGATTTGATGTCATGTCTGAATTGAGCTTCCTTCCATGAGACCTCTTTTCTTACCAGGGTGCCACAGACACACCTTTATCACACCTCTGTGATACATCAGACACACCACAGACACACACATTTATATCCTACCTTTCTTCCTCTTCCAAGGAACCCAAAACAACTTACAAGTTATTCCTACCTCTTCATTTTACCCTTACAACAGTAAGCCTGTGAGGTACATTAGGCCCAAAGTCACCCCTGAACTTCATAGATGAATGGGAACTAAAACCTGGATTTCCTGAGCTCCAGTCCAACATTTTACACACTACTCCAAACTGGCTCTTTAAGAGCAGATGGCATCTTTCAATCTCTAAGAGAGCAGATAATTCAGAAAGGAATGCATACCTTCCAAAAGGACACTGACCAAGGGGGTACGGTCACTGTTTTTAGCCTGCTGAACAAGAAGCTCCCCATCATCCAGCACCCGGGTGACAGGATCACCCCATTTAATAATGCCATTCATGATATAGCTTGCATAATCCTCTTGATTGGTTCCAAATGCCTGCAGGTTGAAGACAATTGGATACATAGTTAAGTTCAGTTGTCCATTCACCAGAATGGGAAGCATTTGGAGTGACTGTGGTAATGTTCAACAGGAAGATTTAAAAGGGGCTTACTCACCGGCTTGATATCATTCTCCAAAGAAGCAAAGAAGTCACCCCTTGTCACCTGCAGGGATTCTGCCTTCTCCATATCAACTTCTACTTTGGTGCTCGCCTGATTAAAATAGAAGATGAGATGTTTATAAGACAGTGAGTTGGAAGCATAAGTTCATAAACAGAGTTGAATTAGTGGGAATGCTAGGAAGTCCTGGAACAAACAATGGAGGAGAGTGGACCTAAAAATTATCCACAAAAGGACCATTTGGGAACATTACTGTATTGAGCATTTCTCCCTCTTGCCCCACACCTGTCTGTGCCTCCCAAGCTCTGATCAATCCTCTCTAGTTGTGAGAACTCATCAACATGGCTAATTGAACTCTTGTCTGGGCATTTTACTCAACCACAAGAGGTGTCTAGGGGAAAGAAAGGTACCTTTCTGTCTTCTCTTACATGACACACACAAGTACATGTAATCTCAGTGGTTTCCATCTGCCATGTGGTGAGGAACAACTGTGACATGAAGCACATTGTGACTGCAGGAATGAAGTGTACTACAACAATGCATGCAGCTTCCTCATATTTAGGCTATCCCATGGTTCCGTCTCCCTCCCTGAAGGTGAACTAACCAAAGCACTGTATGTAAGAAAGGAAACTGTTTAATAAGTCAGCCCTTAATGATGGGAGTGGAGGGGAAGGCAGAGGAGAGGTTTGTGAAGCTAATTTAATTTATGTACCACCTTTGCACATGGTGGCCATGTTGTGAGTGGAGCCGGCTGGACCCGGGGTCAGACTAGATGGCCTGGGAGACCCCTTCTGACTCGCTCTGTTTTTATGTTTCTACCAGGAAATATTATTCAAACAATATTTTAATAACAATAAAATAAACATACCAAATAGTCACAAAATGAATACAATAAAAGCAGTAAAAGAAGAAGTACCTGCTCCAACAGACTTTCAGGGCAAAGGCCTACCTGAGTAAAAACGACTTGGTTTGCCAGCAGAGGGGCAGCAAAGAAACCAACTTAGCCTCCCTTGGCAAGAAGTTCCAAAGTAACCAAGACTAACCTCTCTCATAATCTCCCCAAACCTGCACCCAGTGTTGATGAAACCAAGAAAAGGGACTCCCCAGCTTAGGTTAAAACCCATGCAGGCATGTATAACTAGAAATTGATCTAGATGTTTGTTTGTAGAAGAAATATAACACTAAGTAGAATCAAATCCCCAAACTGTTTACATATAGATATTATAATCCAATTAAAATATTAATATTAGAATCATGTTAAAATACAACTCTAATTAGCCCTCTCTCAGCAACAGGAAGAACAATAAAAACAAGTTCTTTATCCTCCTGAAACACCACCCAAATCACCTATAGCCTCTTAAACAGAAACTGTAACCACCTTACAATTTCCTCCACAGACTAGGAGGGAAAGACTTCAGGGGATACTCATATTAATTATGATCACATAGTATGAGCAAAAACAAAGCAGAAAAAAGGAAGAGGGTCACCCTTGCTTTCATAGTTCATGACATCTGAAGTGGTGGGATGGAATGGAAGGAATCAAACCTTAATATGTCTGTTCATAGCGGTGGACTGTGCTGCACGAACTAGACCCTCAAGCTCAGCACCACTGAAATTCTTGGTCTCTACAGCCAGCTCTGAAATATCAACATCCTGAGACAGCAGCTGGTGGGTCCTCATCCTTGCAGTGTGGATATTCAATATCTGGATTCGGCCCTTTTCATCTGGCAAACCTAAAAAAGGATCATCACAATGAACTCTTTGCTTTAGCCAATAACACTCCCTTCTAACCCATTCTCTCCAAAGGCTAGTAACTTTGATAATGTCCAGGGTTTTCAAGTAGACAGTGCTCCCAGTCTCCATCCAGGAAGTAACGGGTTGCATTACATTAACAGGAAGTCAAACTGGCTGATTTCAGACCTATGCATACAAGCCTCAGGTATGTCTATTCCCATTCCCCCACTTTTACCCACCAAGGGAAGCTTCCACTTTGGTTTTAAATCAGTCAGTTACCTGTGTCAACCAACCTTTGGGAACTGCACTTTGTTTAAACTATGGCTAGTAAGAACAAGCCAGGATGTGAAAAGTTAAAAAATGGAGAGGGAAAAGTGTTTGAGCTTGAAGTCTGCCACAGCTTATCACAGCAGGAAACCACAGTTTCCCATTACATATGACCCCAGCCCTCGAGTGTCATGAGATAGACTGAACAGTCTCCATACTATTGAGGGAGGGACAGGAACAGGAGAGGATATGGAACCAACACATTACACTGCTAACAAGTGAATGTTTGTAACTTCTATTGGTTAGACAAATCAAGCTAATCTATATGTACTTGAGGGCTGCATGGCTTATTCTTTGTGTGGGGAAGGCCAATCACCATCAGAAATCTTGAAATGGAAGACTATATATAATCTTCTGAGACCATTTTGGTTTTTAGGTATGCATTACTGAGCTGAAAAGAGTGGCTCTCTCTCAGCTTTGTCCACTGGAACTCTCTGTGCAGCACCAGAATAGGCTGGAGGGCTATGGAGGATGGCACCATGCTGTGATCCATAGGATTTAGTCTGCCTCGCTGGGATACTTGCTCAATCAAAACCTGGCCAGGAGAGTTTCTTTCTGGTGTTGTGCTCCAGGGACTGATGAAGGATTTTGTTATGTCTACCAACTACCAGTTCTAGTACACAATTACACACATACACACTCTTAACAAAAACAAACAAACCAGAAATAGGAACTCAAGAAGAATGCCAGGGTAGCCTTTCTAATGAAGAATTGATCATTGTTAATGTGAATCATTAATTTCCATGAATGTGTTGGTTAGCATGAGAAACCGTGAATCATATCTGTAAAACAGTTATGTACTTTGTTACTTGTAGAGAGTAAGAAGCACCTCTAGAGGAACAAGCAGGCAAGTTTTATTTTATTTCTTGTTTTAGTAAAAGCCGGGCTTGCTTTATTTATTTAACTGATTGATTTCTATACCACCCAACAGCTGAAGCTGTCCGGGCACTTCACAAAGCACAAACACATTTAGTTACCTCATTGATATAACCAACTAACTTAAATTATTTATTTAAATAACTAAAATAAAATATGTGCAGCTAGACAGATTAATAAAAAAACTGGTGTGGATTGATAACTGCTATGGAATTAGGTTTCTCAAATCCTTGGGAACAGGCCAAGTCCCTTTTTTTTTCCTGGTTCACAGGTCTGTGGTCTTTCTTAGCATATGTCAGCAGGCATGTTCTCACTGCTTGCTTACCAATCTCCATTTTCACCTCCAGTCGTCCAGGTCGCAGGAGAGCCTCATCTATGAGATCTGGCCTATTGGTCATACCTATGAAGTATACATCAAGCAGAAACTGTTACAAAAAGCACCTATACATACCTATGTAGTACGTCTCAAAAAGAAGCTGTCATCAAAAACAGTGTGATAATCTCAAGCCCCAAGACCCCTGTCAACTCTTAAGTTAGCCGGGAGTTCCAGCTTTATAGAATTATCCATTCACCAAGCACAAATTAAGATATGCAGTTGTTTCTTACGCCCCTCTAGAACTGTCTCCTCCAACAGCTGAGCCAAGCATTAGTCAGGCATTATTTTCAGGCTACTAGAGGTGACTTTGTTTACACATTCACAATGTATGATCCATTCATGAGAGAGAATGTGAGCCAGCAACACACAGGTCTGAACTGCAGTTACATCCAGCAATAAATAATGGTCTTAAAATATGCTTCAGAGTTTACAGAAGCTATAGCAGTTGAAACCTAGATGCTGATGGCTCCTGCAATACTGCTTGTATGAATCAACACAGTTCTTGAGAAGGAAAATACAAACCAGTGGGGAAGGGTGGGGCAGAGGGAGGAAAAAAATCTCCACACATGTGCACTTTTTGCCCTGGCTCTTGTCTATCTAGCAGGCTAAGGAAGTGGCAGTTCCTCTGCCTTGCATTCTTCCTCCCATGCTGATGAATGATCCCAGTAACAGCTTTCAGCTAAAATCATCAATTGTGCTGAGATGTTGTCTAGACCAAATTTATTTGTTTTTACTGTGTAACTGTGGTTTTTCCCACGTATATTTTATATATCATTTTAAAACATGCCTTGAGTGTTCCTTCAATTAGCTGTAAAAAATTAACAGTCAACCAAGAAAATATAAATGGCAGGTGGTCTAGTTTAGGAATTTCCTATCTTACAAAATGAAGTTCAGTTATAGTCCAATTTACCTGCTTGCCCAAGGTAGACTGACCACCTATTCTGTACCTATTTTAGACACACAAAGATCTGAGGATTGAGAACTTCAAAGGGTATCTGACTCACAACCCAACTCTCTGCAGCCACAACTCCCTACAGGAAGTTATAGCACAGCCCCACCCCAAACAGAACAAGGTGCTTTCATACCAATGACCAAGATGTTGTTCAGCTGCTCAACGCCATCGATTTTTGACAGAAGCTGGTTTACAACAGTGTCATGGACACCTGTGCTGCCCGCCATACTCCCTCGTTGCTTGCAGATGGCATCAATCTCATCAAAGATGATGATGTGCACACCACTGTTTGCACCAAGCTAATCAAGAAAAACAAAGTATGTCATAAAACAGTGACAAGAAGATCTGGCCATTCTCTTTTCTATTTCTTTCTTTATGGGTGAGGCTTCAGAAAACAAAACTTCCACATAATAGACCAGTGCCTATGGTTGCATGGGTTTATGCAGATTAAGCACTACAGAATGCAGATACTGGATTTCAGTGCATTTCAGAGTTGGAAGACACTTTTTCTCCACCTCCCAATGGGGATACCAAGCTGCAATCTTAGTTTAAGGCAGCATCCTTTGTGATGCCCAGAGGCCTTGTTGCAATGGGGGCGGCATAGAAATGTTTTAAATAAAATAAATAAATAAATAAATAAATAAATAAATAAATAAATAAATCCTACAGCCTGCCACAACCTGGTGTGAACTGCCATGGTAGCTAGCAATGATTTAGAGAGCACATCAGTTTTGGGAATGCTCATATGCCACATATTTAAAGCCATCTCCAGAGAAAAGTGGCAACAGCTTTCAAAATTACAGACAAGAAGGCTAAATAATATGGCTGAGAGCCTCATCTTGTGTTGCTCTTTCACCTTAGGAAAGGCACAATTTTGCAGTCTCAGTTATCCCACCATAACACAGAGGATATTATCTTGCTTTATTCAGCTGTTAACTGATCAGAACTGTTGAAAGTGTAACATCTATTCCCTGTTCTTAACCAATGTTCTAGAGTAGTACAAGGAAGTACAAATTAATGCATATACTAGATGAAAATAACAGAGACTATTATTCACATAAGAGAGAATGTTTTATTCAGTGTACAGCCCCATCCTACAGATTAAAGGTGAATAATCCATTTAATCATAGAAAACCCAATTATATTGATTAAACTCCATCTTGGTCCTTCCTGTCCTATCCCTAGCCATCCAAATATATTTTAATGTGCCACTATGCTAACAATAATTCCTAGCAATTAGAAATGTAGTCTGGCTTAGAACTATTGTGAGTTAGTTCCAGTGTGCTAATTTTTGGGGTTTTTTCCAGGTGTTGTGGAGCATTCAAAAATGGTGCCCTCACCAGCAGTCTTCCATTGTGTAATCCACCCAAACACCTCTGGATTCTGTTACTCCAGTCTGCTGGATGTGTACAGAGGCCTATTGCTTGGCTGATTCTCCAAGGGAAAGGAATTCTAGAATTGAAGGGTAGCCTTGAAAATGCATATTTCTGCATGTCCTTGTGGTCTTGCTTCAGACTTGTTTATTTAAACATGTTTTTATTTGAGTTGTTAATTTTATTTAATACTTTTATATTTTGTTATGGATATTTTATCTTAATTTAATTTTGGTTAATTTGTTAGTTGTGTTTACTGGTGTGTGAGTATATTTTATTTGAGTTACTCTATTATTTTATTGTTTTATCTTTTATCTGATTAATACTTGTTTTATTATAATGTATGTATGTTTGTATGTTTTAGTATTGTAAACCAGCCAGAGAAACTTTGGGTTATGCAGCAGCATAGAAATGAAATTAATCAAGCAAGCAAGCAAACGTCATTGTTGTCCTATTTTAAGCAACTGCCACAGCCATCCCAGCCTTCAGCAACCACCACCCTGATCAGTCAGTACCCATCAACATCAACATCGAGGCAAGATCCTCCACCAGCAAAAAGATGACGATTCACTGAGGGGTCAGATGGCGGTTAGCATTTTTAGCAATGAAGTGTTTTTTAATTGAGGTGTGTACATGGCTTTTTCAGGCATAATGCTATTATACACTTAACAGAGTGCAATTATAGTGTAAACATAACTCTTACATGCATTGGGAAACCAAAAAGTTCATGTTACTTGCTTTATTGCAATATTCATTTTATTGCAGTGGTCAGGAACCAAACTCACAACATCTCTGCGGTATGCCTGTATATAGCATGTTTGCTGTAGGAACAGTTCCATATCAGAATAAGTTACCTAAGGAAGTTGTGGACTCTATTCTTCAGTGCCTTCAGATGAAATGCTTTAAATATAGGGTAAATTGGGGGTGTATGGAAATTGAACCTAGAGCAGCCAAAGGGTATTTTACAATGTTATAATCATATGACCCACCAAAGCAGGAATAAGACATTAGGAAGGATGCTAAAAGCACCATTTCTGTCATCTCTTTTCCCCCCATAATGTCATCTATCAATATGTAAGACAAAATCATATTTTCCCTGTCCTGTTCAGTTTCATTATCTGCATCTAAAATTCATGGCAATTTGTTATGTCATTTGTCAAAATTACCCTCTTCTGCTCTTCTTCTGCATCAGCAAAGAGCTTGCGAATGTTGGCTTCTGACTCGCCGACATATTTGTTCAGAATTTCAGGCCCATTCACTACTTTAGGTTCTCTGGCATTTAACATCTTGCCAATCTGCCTGGCCATGAGTGTTTTACCACAGCCAGGGGGACCATATAAGAGGATACCTTTCACATGCTTGCAGCCTGTAAGGAAAGAAAGGAAAATAAAAGTAATTTCCTGTACAGAAATACAAAAGCAAAGAGTCAGACTGCCTTGGAAACTAATTGGTACTCAACTCATATCTTACATTTAGGATACCAGTTTGTTCACAGACACAACCTAAAATGCATTCATACCTATAAGATATAAACAATTTGGAACCAGAGTACTCAAGACAGCCTTTCACATGACCATTAAAAACCTCCTTAGAGACCCTGTTCACAGTGCCTCCACCTTCTAAGATAACGTGGGTGCAACAAGAATCAGAGGCCCTGTTCATATGTAGCACTAAACCATGGTTTGGTCTCACTAACAATAGTTTAAAGCAATCACAGTGGAGCTTCGAATCTGTTCCACCAACACATGAAAAGGGGAGAGGGACAGGCATGGTCCCATGGCTTCCAGGAGCCTGCTCCCACAGAGGGAAACCAGGGCTTCTTGGAATTTGAAAATCTCTGCATTTATTGTTGCACCCCCTCTGGAATGGTTATTATTGCTTGAGTGTGCTCCTGAATTCCGCACTGTCACTACAGGTCTAGGTGACCATGGTGGCCCTAAATCTCCATCATCAACTTTGAATGGTATGCCAACAACACTTCTCCCTGGATAGAGATAACATACCCACAATAATCCCACTGGTGACCCTGCAATTAAACTACTGTAAGGCATTCGTTGTGGGGCTGTCCCCGGCCGCATTCAGAAGCTTCAGCTAGTGCAGCATGCAGCAGTGAGGGTTGTTACTCAGACACCCAGCAATGTACACAAGGCACTGAGAGCCCATAGACAGGCTGCTGTCAAGTTCTAGGGTGGCTTGTTAACTACAGCAACAAGGTACCCTGGCCAGGTTTGTACAACATGGAGAGCTACACTGCCAAGGCTAATTATTTCAATCCCTTTCAACATGTTAATAATCTTATAATAATAAGGGAAAATAAGCCATCGTGAATGTGTAAACACAGCCGCTGCATGGTGGTGAACAGGATAAACACAAAAGCCATGGGGAGCAGATGGATCTGCTCTGGGCAGGGCAGAAGAGGGTGGCTGAAGGGAAGAACTGACCCATGGATTTCAGGAGATGAAGAAGCTGAACTGCTCCCCACTACATTATAGTAAGTGAGATTACTATTCCAGCTAGCCTAGTACGGTCTATTCTGACTGCAAATGTCTGCAGAACTAAGGCGAGGACATTTCCCAGACCTGCTTCTCAAGATCCTTTAACTGGAGATTAAAGATCTTCTGCACACAAAGTACATGCTTTGCCACAATAAGAAGAGCCCTTCTAGATCATACTAAGGGCTTATCTAGTCCAGCATTTTATTCATGCAGAGGCAAACCAGTTGCCCAGGGGAAGCCCACAAACAGGACTTGAGTGCACCATCTTCCCATGGTCTTATTCTTCACCTAATCATAGGGCCTAGTCCTGAAGAAGCATGGAAGCACAGCAGATGCATTTCCCCTTGTAAAAGCATACAACTTTGTGTTATCCATCTAACTCTGCACTGTTCCCACATGGTACTCATAGTAATGCATCTTCTAAGAATAGAACTAAGGTAGGCTCCTTCCTTGGTTTGGAAGGGAAGGGAAGCCTCAGACAGTTTAAGCCACAGCAGTGAAAGTGGTAATGCTGACATTTGTAATTTTAGAAACAAAAACAAAAGTGTTTTGCCTTTTGCCTTGATGGGGAACTAAACAGATAAAAAATTTAGTCAGTTCTCACGCATTTGAAAGAGATAGCAGAAAAGCAAGCACACACTATGTAAGTGGGGGAGGAAAAATTTATTGGAGGTGAAATGCTATTTTTACACATGAACCAACAAGGTGGTGATAAATTAAAAGTGATCCTTGTCAAATTAGTGTCAGAGAAGAGCCTGTTAATTCAGCATATGGGGAACACGATCTCTTGTGTAACCCAAAAACAGTGAGGTGGGATTTGAATGATGAGTGATGCCAGTGAAGGGGAATCCCAGATTGCTGAGACGAGAGAGGCTACAAAAAGGCTACGTGCAAGTTGAGACAAATTTTGTACAAACAGGTTTAGGGAATTTCTGTTGTCAGGCAAGCCAGATGGACGTAATCTCTTGCTGCTCTGTGTTCATCCTTGCAATGCTGGGTGGGGGGAGGGGGGCAAGGTAAGAGGAAGCACTAGACTTCACCTATTTGAAATATGCCACTATCAAGCAACTGCACACATGAATGTTTGAAACTTTGTGCACATGCAAATGTATCCTGTTACTTGACAGCTGCACCAAAAGGTAACTTTTAGGCTTACTCTTCAGTCATTGTAAGACAACCCTCTGACTACGATCAGGCAGAGGGTATGTGCAAACTATCTGACAACAGTAATTTACTGAAGGTCACTCATATAACAAAGCCAGGGTTATCAAGCAGTTTATTAATTACTCACCCACCAATGACTAACTTTCACCAGCACAGTGAAAACCAGTAAGCTTGCACAACAGCTTGTCAAAATAACAGCAATAAACCAAGATCCAACAACAGTTATTTATTCAGGCAGTAACTGCAGCACTAAAATGCAAATACAATAACTAAATAATAAATAAAATACTACATTTCTGTACTATCCATTTTGTCAACTCAATGAGGAGCAAAATAAGGTGGCAGTGTACATAACACAAAATCCTTTAGTGCTGAAATTATTGCTAAACTGAAAAGAGTGAACTGTTTGAGGGCATAGATTATTCAGATAAAGAGAATTCTACTAGATTATAAGTATAGCCTACTCGAAGGATTGGTTCCATATTCAGTTTTACCTCTTTGATTAGTCTTATACCACAAGACTATCTACAAAAATAGTAACTGTATGTGTTGAAAAATAAATGCAATTATTAAAGGTTTCTGTAAAGGTAAAGCATCAACACATAGAAGAGGTTCTTTGTTGTATCTCTGCATGATCTGTCATTGCCTCAGTCTAATTGGCCTCTACTGGAGGTGGATAATTCTGCTATCTATTATTTGTTTGTTGCACATTCCAGATGTCCTAGGAAATCTGGAGACATTACAGTATCAGTGATTTCCATAGAAAAATAAGAATTGTGCTACTCTTACCCTTACATATTCTTTCTTCAAGCTACAAGAAAGGGGTTATTTTTAAAATTAAATTCCCACCAATTTAATTTTAAAAAGTGTACTTCAAGTAATAAACAAGTGGAGAAATACAGAGCCAAAGGATATTCACTACAGGCAAACAGTTCTCCAGTGTGGGGAACATTTTGTCACAGAATTCAAAGCACATCTGTTATAAAAGTCACCCAAAAGTCCATCAAACCCCACGTTCTTTCCACCAAGTGTCAACTCAATGGCCTGTAACACAAATGGAGATCTGTGAGGGAAAATAGCTATCTCCTTGCTGTTTGTCCACAAGCATTAGAATTAGAAATTATTCTGCCTTTTTACTTAGTAGTTCATCTCTAGCTCCAACAAAACAGTGTTCCAGGATTGGGCAACGCAAAGTCAAAATTGCCTAGAGCCTTGGTAAAGTGTAACAAGCCACATAAAAGAACTCAGCAGGCCGCACAAGCGTTCGGGCTGTACAGGCCTACTCCCATCTCATCCCAATTTAAGATGCTGGGATGGTGGTTTGCTGTACCTATGAAAGAACAAAGCTGCTTACAATTTAGTCCACCTAGCTCAGTATTGTACACCCATGTCTGACAGTGGCTATCGAAGTTTTGAGGAAGAGTTCTTTGCTAACCCAAAAGCCAAAATTTCACACAACATAAAGAGCTATATTAAATTGTATGATCTATGGTTCTATTTATCCACTTTCCTGTTTCTAATAGTGGGCAGCTACATGCATCTGGAAAATCTGTACACATATTTAGGAGTCTTCTTCCGAATAGATAGGTGATGACAAACTTGATAATGTCATGAAACAGAACAAGGGAAGTTCCATTTTAGACATAATACTTAACAGCATCAATAGTACTATGCCCCTTCATAAAGTGTGTCCAAACCCTTTGTAGAGTCAGTGGCAACCACATCTTAAAGCAGTGGGTTCAACAGGTTAATTCATAATTACATGAATTGTCTTAAATTTCATTGGGCCATCTCAAATTCTAGAGATAGGAGCTGTGGGGTGGGGGAATGACGAGACTTCAAAATTACACAATAAAATTGATCAGCAATGGTTTGTTTAGCTGAAGATGCCATAAATTAAACCTTCTGCACACAAAGAATGTGCTCTCCTCCACAGTCCCACCTCACCTCAACCTGGAGAATATCCCCATAAGCACCTGCCTAACCTGGAAGGCACTGAAACTATGAAGACAGGTCTTCTTTCAAATAGGCAGGTGATGACAAACTTCAAAATGTCACGACTCAAGACAGCAATGTCCTACACTGGAGTAATTTTTGCAGCTTATCTCAGCTCCAAAAGAAAGGCAGGCAGTGTATCCAAATGTCAATACTATTAACAAGGGGCTTATAAAACTCAACCTATTATTCTAGATGGGCATGTCTAAATGCCTCTGTCTGGCATCAAGCCTATACTCCAACTGAAGGTCACTCATATAACAGAACACCAGGGTTATCAAGCAGTTTTTAATTACTCACTCACCTATGAGCAACTTTCACCAGCACAATGAAAACAAATAAGCTTGCACAACAGCTTGTCAAAATAACAGCAATAAACCAAGATCCAACGACAGTGTTGTCATCACTACAGCAGGCTCCTCAACCAAATGAATTTTCAGTGGGTTGGCATTTGGCACAGATTAGACTATGACAATCTTCCTCTGACCATATCTCATTAAGCTTGCCTGCAAAGGTCAATTTAAGATAGCATTTATGGAACTAACTGTTTTGTTATATTCCCCAAAAATCCCCCCCCGCCCCGCACACACACAGTATTCTAGTCTTCTTGTATTGTTCAGGTGCATACATGGGTGACATTTCTACACTGGGAACCAAACTCAGAAGGAATGAATGAACTTTATTAGATAACACACTCAAGCAGCAGGAATAT